ATAGATAGATAGATAGATAGATAGATAGATAGATAGATAGATAGATACATACATACATACATACATAGATAGATAGATAGACAGACAGACAGATAGATAGATAGATAGAGAGAGAGAGACAGATAGACAGATAGACAGATAGACAGATAGATAGATAGATAGCTAGATAGATAGATAGAGAACAAAAAAAGAGAGAGAGAGATGCAATGCTTTGACAGTATCTGGGCTTAGTGAGGTGATGTCCCATTGGATCAGCCTCGAATCAAATCTCTTAGGCTTTGGCACCTGATCCCCACCAGAAGTCTTGAAAGCTTCCGCAGCAGCAAAGAAGGCCGCATAAGTCCCACCGAAAAAGCACTGGCCAACACCTGAGTCATGCAGCCCACAGGTGCAACAACTGCAGCAGTCAGTCGGTTCAGCATGTAACGCCCTGAATCACATGCATGAGCTGCCTCTTGGCCACTTGCTGCAGAAAGCAATCTCCCCTTAGAGCCCTGTACAGTAAAGCATTTAAAGGGCATCAAATCTGTGCAATCTCATGTGCCAGGATGGCATGGTCCTTGCCAGCCACAAAAGTCATGCGACCATTTCCTTTACAGGAGACTGTACACGCTATTAAGTCTCATGATTGCTCTACTACATTACTACATGCTTCCTGCTCATCAGCACGACGTTGCCTGAGGAACAGGAACTCCGGCACATTGCTGTGTTGCTGCAGTTGAGCTTGCAACGCAATTCAAGCAGCTTTGGCCACACCAGGAACCCCAAAAGCAGGACCACTTGCAGTTGTCTGCGCCATATTGAGCTGAACCCACAAAGCAATTTGCACAACTGCTACTGAGTCCTGTGTCAGACTCCACACAGTTGACAAAGTTGTTCGAGTTGAAGCCAAAGAAAATGTTGTAGTTCTTCTTGCCACACTGTGAAAGATATTTGGGGAAGGTGCCGTCTGCATTACCACTACCAAGTTGGGACATCGCGGCCTCATCCGCTGCGCTGCAAGCGGGTGCACTGCTCTGCAGAAGACGAGTCATGTTGCCAGGAGACCCACCCTGACCACGAAGAGAGTCAGCCAGCAGGCAAGGAAGGAGAGTGGTCATCAAGCCAGCTCGGAGAAACATAGATCGAGCGCCCATGGTAGCAACCGCTGTCTTGTTTTGTTGTTTAAGGATTGCAGTGATTCAAGCCAGCTTGCGGAGGAAGAAAACTCTCGATCTGAATCAATCAGAACCATGTTATGACAAAGTTGACGTGAAGTTCCAATGTGACTGTACAATTCAGAGTGGCGCACCCCACAGGCAAGAGGCCGCTTCAGTTGGCAAAGCCTTGTGTTCTTCAACAAGGCAATGTCGGCAGCTCATTTATATATATATATACATACATACATACATACATACATACATATATATATATATATGCTATTTGACATACACATAGAATCAGACAAATCTTTCAACCAATCAAAAGCGTGCCTTGTAGCTTCGGTACAGCCCTGCGTAGAACCAGTAAACAGGCGGACCAACTACCTCAGTACGACTTCTGACAAAGGTGGAACCAAAGGAGACACCAAAAGTGCTCAGAGAACGACAGAGATTGTGTGGCCAAGTATGTCAACCGCTGGGCTCAGCTTCTCCATGTATGGCGAAAGCCAAGGAGAGCCCTGTTGCTCTGTGCTCTGAAAGATCGCATGTGCTGAAAACAACAAAGAAGAAGGCTGCAGTACGAAAAAGCGATGTAAAACAATCAAGATAAGGGCGCCCTTATGTTCTTGGGTTTTCATCCCTTTCTTCTTCTTGCAGTCAACTGGAAGGACAAGACTCCACCTTCCAGGTCATGGCAGCAAGGCGTTCCATGCGCTTCTGCTCTCTGAGTGTCTTCAAAGAACCTCAGGCAGCTCTGCGACGCTTTGCATCTTGAACAGAACCAAAGCCATCAAGCTGCGACCAGGCTCTCAAGACCCTCGAGGCACTGACCATATTCACTACACTTTGTCTGTCCACGGGAGTAGCCGGCAACCACAGCCTTGTCTGTAAGTCAGTGTAGCATGACCGCAGTCAACATGCCACACTTACAGTGTGGAGAAACCTTTGGGGCCTTGCAGTTACAGCAAATGCAGTTGCAGCTTGCCAGTGTGGAGAGATTCTGCTTGTGATAAACGACCAGTGCTCCTCACATCAACTGCTCAAGCAAGATCTCCAAGATATGAATATGTTTGCCTCAAATTTCAGTTGTTGTTTAAGATTTACAACGAAGGAAGGTTTTGGGAGGAAGCTTCTCCGGCCCTCAGAATGGAGAAGATCCATTGAAAAACCCAAGCTCTTCTGCTTCCTTGCTGCTAGTCGCTACTTACCGACAGCTTGCTAGCTTCCTTACTACAGCTCCGGCTGTTTCACAGCAAACCCATCCTGACACCATTAGAAGGGATGAGGCTCGGGAAAAAACAGCTTGGGCAGGCTAATCGCAAAGCCGCTCAGACTCGCAAAGCCGCTCAGTCCTTGCTTACAAAGTCCGGCTTCTTCAAAGCTGCAGCGGGGAAGTGGAACATGCCAGAGCCTACGTGGAGAATGCCATCTCTTACAGCGAAGACTAAGAGCTCTAGCAAAGGGGTCTTAGCCGCAAGAGATGCATTTATATATATATATATGTAGCTTACCTCCTGCCCCAATTTTAAGGGTACTTGAAAATTCCTAGAATTCTAGGGAAACTGGTGCACAAAATAGGCTGTATCCTGCCAAGTAAGGCTTCGGCTGGCACCACCAGTGCATATCACCGGGATCACCTCGGCGGGTATAATATAACCTGTAAGATTCATCTACAGTAAGAGTTTCCAAAATTGAGGACGTAGCTGCAGCCCCCCGCGAGAAAGCTGCATTTGCCTGGATTGGATCTAGTTTGACATCAACTAAACCGACTCTGTTTTTGAAGCCACTTGCCTGCTCTGCAACATCCTGGCCGCCCTCAATGGTGATGTAAATATCCCCAATGGATGCCAACAAGCTCCTTGGTCAAGTGACACACTTTGAGACACATTGTTGGGGCATGGGAAAAAAAGGAAACAATGCTTTTAGTACATCTTGGGAAACTACTCAGGTACTGGCTGTACATCCTGGCAGTTGACCTTCAAAAGCACCATCTTCTGGCCTTAGGGTGCTTGCTTGGAGATAAGTATACACCCACTGATACTACTTCATTCTTGGACTGCGTGAGTCTAAAAGCATACCAAGATCTCGTCCATCCAAAATGCCGTCAGAAGTCAAAGTATAAACCTCGGTCAAAGGACCGAAGGACTCAGCCCTTCTTTTTGAAACAACCAGTTGAATCAGTCAAAGCGTTCCGTGCCTTCGAGGCCTTGCAGCTCTTTGCAACGGTCTCCTTTCTCATCAATTAACGTAAAGAATGAAAGCGTAATTTCAGCAGGAAGAATTCGGAAGAATGCAAGAATTGCTAAAGAAATGCTCCTGCACTCCAGGAAGCCCGCTAGAGATGAAAAGTGCTCGATCAAAAGCTCGATCCAGGTGAACAGCCACCTCTAGGAGTCGAGAAGAATGAAAAAGTGTTACTTTCTTTAAGCCTGAGGCCCTGCCTCCTAAATTAAGTAGGGGCCTACTTAATAAAGTAGGGGGAGAAACTAGTTCGCTACTAGGCTAAGTTAGCTTCTAGCTACTGGACGCAGGATAGCTCACGCGCTAATGATTTGGTTCCTAGACTTGTTGAGAAACTTAACTTCAGACTTGACTTTTAATGGGGTTTGGCCGCGCGAGGTGAGGTGGAAGATGTGGTAGGCTTCAGCATAGCTACTTGAGGCCGAGGGTAGGTGACAAAAGCTAGCAGGGGTGCATCCGGACTGGTGGGACATCAAGCGGATTGAGGCAAATGCTCATGAGGTAAAACGTTGTGAACATATAAGACACACAAACAGCAATGACACAGCCAACCTTAGAATTGAAGTCCCCGATAATTAAGGAAGCGTGGCTGGACTTTGCCACACTATTCGATGCATCCGATGTGTTTACGAACCTGTGAGCTTGTTGAATCTGTTGCACCGTATCCCAAAACCTCCATGGAGGAGTTGAACCAAAGTGGATGCCATAAGAGGTGCCCAACAGGTGTCCCAGAGGCAAAACAAAGCTGTTTGCATGAGTTACTTGGTTTCTTCTATCAATGTCGATGTCATGAACCTGTGAGCTTGTTGAATCTGTTGCACCGTATCCCGGAGGAGTTAAACCAAAGTGGATGCCATAAGAGGGGGGGGGGAGGGGGGGGGGGCCTACATATGAAGTTTTCACGTGATGCGGCGATCTCGAGGATTCCAGCCCCTCACTTGCTAAAGCAAGGACAACTCCAGCTAGCTGGTGCTAGCTTTCGTGATAAGAGTATATAGTAGGGTAAGCTACTAAGCTTAAGTTGATTTTCTATGCTCCCGGAGGCAGGAATGCTCAGAAGCGCATAAATAGTGGTTTTAAAGGCCCGGGGGGGGATAGGCCGAGAAGAGGTAGTAGTTAGGTAGCTAGTAGAAGCAAACGGTAGCTAGTAGCGTAAGTCGCTACTACCAAGGACGCAGGATAGCTGGATGTTTGGCGACAGGACACTGGATAGCTCAAGCTTCTTCGCATGATTGATTTGGTTCTTAGATTTTTCGTTACGTATTACGTCCTTGAGCCGACCCAAAGGCGAAAGCAACACTCATATTGAGGCAAAAAACACTCTGCACGCGGAGGTTTCGGGGCCTGCTCGGTGAGCTCGTCAAAGTCTGACCCTGGGACAGACATGAATGTGGACCAATCTCACCCAAAGGAGATGCAACTTTCTGGCTCAAATATTCTGGACCTGATTCGATCTGTCCTAGCGGATAAAACATGCTGCTGTGCCAAAAAGAATGACAGAAACCTTTCGCTCCAGCTCACGGTGTGCAAACTTTTCTTTTACGCGCACGACAGGAGTCTTTGTTTTAGTCCCCAAAATGCTGCATCCCTTAGCTAAGCTTTATATATTGCCCAACATCAGGCAAGCTGTTGATGCATTATTCTTGAGCTTGTCACCTCTTTAGCATAGTGACGGCATAGTGTTGTCGATGTTGTGTTTGTGGGGTGAGGGTGTGGGGGTGGCGGTTGCTTGCGCTGGTGGCGACCTGCTACTCTTGCTGTTGCCCTTGCGGCGGTGTTGGTTGGTGGAGGTGGTTGCTATCCAAGTCCATTCACACTTCAGCTCTCATCGTCTTCGTCGGCCACGGCTGCGGCTGCAGCTGCGGCTGCTGCTGCAGCTGCGCTTCCGCCGCTCCTGCACATATTGAAACACGAAGCAAGGTCTTGGCGTGCATGAAGGGCCCTCTACAAAACTTCTGAAGGTTCAATATAGATTGTAAGAAAATGTACCAAGTACCTTACAAACTGAAACATCCAACAATAAAAGTTGATCAAGGCACCTTTTTGCTGCGGCGATGTGACCGGTCTCTGCCGCGCTCCTGTGAGCAGGTTATTTGAGGAAAACAGCACTTAGAGCTCTTTGATTTTGAAGTTTCCCTAAGAATCTAGGCTCCTATTTCCATCATACAAAGAGTTCTTCTGCTTTTAGGTGGGAGAAGTTCCCTTGAAAAAACAAGCACTTCTGTGTCCTAGCTACTAGCAAGCATGTTTACTTCTAGTGTCATCTTACCGAACATCTTCTTACTACCAGGTACCAGCTACCTAAACTACCTCTCCTACACACTTCTTTAGTGGCCTACCCACCCAAGAAGAAGTGACTTCGACAATGTTTGATCAAAGGGTGAACCAGGCTGATCCGTGGTCCTTCCCACGGCGATCTCGACTTCTGCTACCTCTCCTGAAGCGCAGTCCGAATTGAGCACTAGTCCCTGGTTTATCCAAGCTTGCCTACTGCGCTACACTTGTGCTACCCAGATGTGCTGTGCTGTCCTTCGTGTTCTTGACCTTGTACCGCTCTTGGCGTCCTTCCCCTTGCAACAAAATTGCTCGATGTGGTTGGACTTCTGATTCATCCTGCTAGGCCTTGGCTTTGGACTTCCTGTCGCCCTTTTCACCCTTCTTTTCGCCCTTTTCGCCCTTTTCACCCTTTTCACCCTTTTCATCCTCCTCTGCCTGTGCAACATGTCCCAAATTGTTGCTTCAAAATAAAGGAACGAAAGTACTGCAGGAGCCACCTCTGCTTCTTCTTCTCCCTGCCCAAAACTAAACTCCAAGACACACAAAGAAAAGACCCTATTGTTATGCCGACAAAACGAACGAGAGAATGGACCAGGTTTGTACCTAGGCAGTGGTTCGAAGAAAACCGCTTGTCTTCAACCCATTTGTCATTTGTATGGAGAGACGGACAGAAGACATCCATACTATCTAGAATCTAGAAATCTTGGTTGGGTTCTCACACTTAGGAGCAATGCCTAGGAACAAGAAGCTACTAGTAACAAAGG